CCCCAAAACCCCAAAACCCCAAAACCCCAAAACCCCTTCCAGACATGATTTTATTGAGATATATAATAAATAAAAATGATGAAGGGAACCATCCAGTCTCGAGATGTAAAAACTGGAGCTACTGGCTATAAAAGGATCAAAACATTTAGAGGTAATAGTCTCATTAGTCAGAAGAATTTTGAACGGAATCCAGGATTTGAGAGGATTTACTCCCAACAAGTTCTTCACAGGAAAGACGGTCCACAGGCTAATGATCTCAGAAGTATATTTAGATCTAACTTTAGGAAAAATCTCTCAACCTTCTGACGAAGATTTCCAGATCAACATTCTAGAGGAGGATACCTCTGGAACCAGCCTTGAGGACGACACTCAGGATAAGATCAGCCCTAAGAAGACTGCATTTAGCTGGATGAGCAAGAGATTTGGAGGTGCTAATAAGGTAAAAGTTAAAAGAAGATCCCAACCTCCTGTTGTAACTAAGAAGATCCAGGGTCCCAAGAAGTTCCTTGTTGCCAAGAAGATCATTAGAGATGGGAAGAAGGTCTGAGGCCCATTACCCGGATCAATTGATTACGACCTGTCACAAGGAGAAGATAAGTTCTTGACTGAGAATAAAAATATACCAATGAAGCACTAAAGACTAAGAAAATTGTTCATAACGCTCCTCTCAAAGTTCGAACTGACTCTGATGGGATCTACATTAGAAGGACTTTGGTAGGTACTCCTGAGGAGTTCCAAAATGGCATGAAATCTCATATGACCATTAAGAAATATAAGTTCAAGAAGTCTAATTTCAGTAAGATGGGAGCTATCAAATCTCAAATTCTTGAGAAATCAAGCGACACTTTTAGTGACGAGGTGAGTCTAGAATACTTCTTTATTTTTTGTCATATTCTGGAGATTATTCATCCTCCGTAGTTGAGACCATTTTGATTAACAAGTAAGATATATTAGAAATGCTTGGAATTAGTCAAAAATTGTCGATCGATGTTGTCAGGATAAACAGCATTCAGATGCAATTTAGAAGTTAGCTTGCTTGTCTTATCAAATATACATATCAGTTATCACTTTCTCCTTTATCATAGTCTTAACTCAGTCTAGGAGGGATCTCAAACAGCAAACCGAGGATTGTTGACATTCAATGGAGATGAAGAAGAATTAAAGAGTAATTTATCCAGACTTAATCCTCATGCTTTATCAAGCATGAATGATGCTTCTTCGAATCTAATCAAGTAAGCTTTTGATGACTGGTATCTAGGTCTGTGTCTAAGAAATCTTCTTTGAAAGATAATAAGAGGCCTTTTACCAAACAAGACATGATGGCATCCATAATCCGTTTCAAAGCTTGAAGGCAAGCTGAAAAGCAATCCTTGATGGAGACCATTCAGGAGCCTAAGGGCAGGAAGACGTTGTTCTCTTCTCAAAGCCAAGGGAATCTGCGGGATTTAAGACTTACCAGTGAGGATAAAAGTAAGACCATTACTTTTGGCAATCTTCTTGCTACTAGCATGCAAGAGCGTAGATTGCTTAGCCATGAAAAAGCTGTTAAGATTTGGGATAAGAGAAACCAAATTTACTCTAAAAAGTGTCACAGAGAATCTAAGTCTCTTTCTCTGATGGAAAGGAGTGATCAGTATGCTGTGAAATTGCAGGAGCTAGACCAATGCTCTAAGATCTCAAAGCCGTGAGAGAACACTGATGCTCATTACCAATGGATATGCAGTCTCAGGAGTCCAAAAGGGAAAGACAAGAAAAGGCAAATATTCATTCCTTTGAGCAACAAGAATCCAATAAACAGCTGTGTAACTGCCCGAGTAAATCCTTTTAAGAAGGAAGCTCCTGTTTTCCTCAAAATTAGTGACAAGAAGACTTCAAGACAGGAGGCTTTGACCCAAAGAAATGGGACTGCCAGGGTACATAAACTCGATATCACCAGAACAAAGGGGTATATCAGAGATCTTAAGGAAAAAATATCTCAAAAATCTTTACGGACATATCGGAGGAAGAACCAGTTTGGGGATGATCCTCAGAGCTTAAAATTCACCTCTCCAAAGGATAAGGACCCCATCTGCTTTGATCGGATCGAGAACCTCTCACACCTCTACATCGACGGAGACTGTAAATTCACTCTCGAGTATGATTACGCTAAGAAACGTGGAACAGATGGGGCTCAGATAGTTCTTGACCACATCGTTGACCAGTCTGGAGTCGGCGAGCCCGACCAGTCACAAGAAATAATTGAAGAGGACTACCAAGCGTGTGTTTAGCCCACTTTCAACATTATATGGCAAAGAGGGGTTTTGGGGTTTTGGGGTTTTGGGG